AATAATAAGTTCGATATAAATCCAGCTTTGTGAACCAATGAGTTTGTTTAGTTACAGGTAGCTGCATCACTGAAAAGTCCCATCCAAGCATGGGTGATGATTCACAAAAAGCTGCATCACTGCCCTAGGACTATGTTCAGTGGGGACAGGAGGGAATGAGTGGCTGAAATCTCAGATCAGGGTCTAGTGTCCTTCCTACCTCTTCTACAATGGAATGTTAGTATGCCCTATCTCCTGAAGGTCTTGTCTGATTATGATAATCACAACTGCTCTCATTCTAAAAGGGAAAGGCCATGTCATACCCTGAAGACAGAGTTTTACATAGCTCACACTGGGACAGTCTCAGATAAAGGACTTGTACAGTTAGGGTGGCACAGGAGGAGGTCATACTGTTCAAACATGGCTCATTTCTTAAAAGGGCACTTCTCCCAGGATAGGGTGGCAGAGTGCACAGGTTGGCTCCCAGGCCCTCTGATCCCCACCACAAACATTGAACTTTACTCTGGATCTTCTGTCAATATTGTGCCTTTGCATTTGGCTCCTCCACTCCATTTTACATGGCACTCATTTACTGAGATTAGGTTGTTAGGATTTAATTTCCTCCTGTACCAATCAACATTCTGAGATTACAACCAACCAGTGGAAAGTGGTGTGGATGGCTTAACCAAAAGGAAATTTATTGGGAGGGTAGAAAGGTCAAAAGAGGGTGTTACAAAGGCCATAAAGAAAGGATGTGGCCCCCTGGGGAATTGGTAGGTACTACATAGTTCTGCCATGGGACAGGTGAAGCACAGGAGTAGAGATTCACTTTCTGGAAAGGACTGATGTTCCAACAGGGAATCAAGTGCTTTCTGAGGAGGGCAGGCTCTGGATGCACAAGGACTAATGTGCTGCTTGGTCCATATTGTTGCAGTGTTTGCAGAGTGGTGAGGAGTATTTCTACTCCATGTGGAATCCAGAATCCAGTCACTTCCAAACTGTCCTTCTTTCCAGGGCATGGGAGTGTAGCAGATTGGATGACCCCAAGGTTTTTCTTCCTCTGATTCCTCTTCCTCAAGCTGCCTGAGAGGAAGGACTCAGCTTTCCTACCTACTAGTGAGCTACAAGACTGCTGTGCACTTGTAATGGAGACAGCACTTGAAACTAGCAGCTGGTACCTTGGGCCCAAATGGTGACATCCCCAAGTAGTAACTTTCCTCAGACAAGGAGCAGAAGAGGCTGGAGGGACACAAGTGAGTACACTCTTTGTTACTAACAGGTGGACACAGGTGCCAGGCCCAGGTTATTTAGAGGTTACTGGATATCCTAAGAGCATTTAGTGTATAAGGGTTAGTGTTTACTACCACAGAAAGTGATGTGGGTTGTGAATACCCACTGGCAGCAGTGTCTCTTCCCAGACTAAGATTACTGGACTGTCTGGTTTGCTCTGATGAGGATACATTATCACTGGCAAAAGCCTTGGCTCTGAAAGTGCAGACTAGGCCACCCATCTCAACACACTAATCAAAAAGGTGATCAGTGATCAGAGCAGAGAAAGACTTAATCATGGTAGTCACGTTGTGAAGAACAAACAGTTCTGTGACCTTGAGCCCATCTTCAAGAGGCTAACAGGAACTTGAGATTTTATAGAAAAAGGAAACAAAGAAGGGGGTTGGGGGTTTGCATAGCCAAGAGAACAGATGATCTTAGTCAGGACAGTGTTCTGATCATCATTTCCATTCTGGTTATGCATGGTGTTCTGGAGAAGTTACCAATGTCATCACCTGAGGGGAGCAATTTGGTTCCCAAGTGATTGCTCCTGCTCCAGGGTACAATCTCACCATCATAGGTAATTGCCCTCATTTAAGGGGTGGTCTTTCCTGTGCTTGGGGGTGGTTTTGGTCCTTGGTTATAAAGGTAGTTATCAATCAGTCTTAATCAGTTCTGCCATTCCAAGATGACTCCAGGAGACAGTGACTCAGGAGGAAAAAAAGTTAAAGAGGTAAAAATAAAGCCAGAGAGGAATAATAAAATGGCATTAGTTCAGTGACTTGGGCCCTCCTTCAATATTACTTTCATAATAAAGAATATTCAGAAAAGAGGTTGTGCTGGATAGTTTTAGTTATCAACTTGACATACCTGGGTGGGGGGGGTTCAGTTGGGAATTGCCTCCATTAGACTGACCTGTGGCAATGTCTGTGAGGCATTTTCTTGATTGTCAAGTGATATTGGAGGGCCCTGCCTATGGTGGGTGGTCCCACCCCCTGCAGGTTGTTCTGTATTGTAGAAGAAAGCAGGCTGAGTGTGGGCCAGGGAGCAAGCCAGTAAGCAGGTTTTCTCCATTATCTGTGCTTTAGTTCCTGCCTCCGGGTTCCTGCCCTGAGTTTCTACCTTAGGCTCCCTGATGAACTGTGACCTGGGAGATGTAAGCCAAATAAACCCTTTCCTCCTCAAGTTGGAATTGGTCAGAGTTTTGTCTCAGGAATTGAAGGCAAACTAGAACAGAGGCCAATTGCAATATTCCACAAAACATTCTCTTTTCCTCCCCCTTCTGGTCACTTGGGGAACAGACACGGGAAAGGAGGGACGGAGAGGGAGGTGTGATCTCCTGCAGTGCTATCCCTCTTCTGCTAGCCAGTTGTTCACTTGGGCTCCTGGAATCTCCTTTTCCTTCCTAACACTCCTAAGTGGGGACTAGAGAGTCAACATGTTTTTGTTCTGTCTGTTCCAAAATACTCTCAACCTTGTCCAGAGGCTCTCTGAGGAGTGTTCTGTGGGAATGGACAGCCAATAGTTCAGTGAATGGATTAGCTGTCAGGCAAAGTGCTGGTTTTTTCTTTCTTTCCTTTCTTTCTTCTTTTTTTTCGGTCTTTTTGAGACAGAGTCTCCCTGGAGCCCCAGCTATCCTGGAACTCACTATATAGACCGGGCTAGCCTTGAACTCACAGAGATCCACCTGCCTCTGCCTCCCAGTGCTGGGATTAAAGGTGTGCGCCACCACGCCCGGTCCTTTTCTTTCTTTCTTAAATCAACAGTAGCAAAGAAAAGATCAAGGTGGGTGTCCTTTAAGGACACCTTGGTCCAGCACTGCACAGTTAACAGGTAAACATAGTGGGATCAGATATGGGGATAGTGTCTGGGGTTGTAATAACTGTTTATGAATATGCATGTGAATGCCTGAATTATTTAAGTGCATGTGTCCTATGTCATGAATATGTGGGCACGCCTGCAACTGTGTGCATGTGTTTACATTCATGTACATGTCATGAATGTGTGGGCAACATATGTATATTTGTGTGGGCACATTTGAGTATATACAAATGTGCCTATGTGAGGATATACTGCATTAAGCTAAAACAGCTAATGAGGAGACAAGCATTTCTGCATGCATGCAAATCATAGCAAAAATGAAAGAAGTGCGGATCTACTCCTTTCAACCTTAGGTGTAAAGTGTGTGATTGAATATCCCACCAAGATTTAGTGGCTAGGGAAGCATTTCTGGTTATTTAACTGTTTTCCCAACTCCATGATTATGCTCTCACACGATGGTACTATTACTTTGGAAGATTGCCACAGGTTTGAAGTGTAAAATACACAATGATATAAAGTACGCAAAACCTGAATGTAGATTGCTTTATTTACATACATGCCTCATGTCACTACCCACTATTCAGAGAACATAGCATCCCCAGGTTCCCTGTGGTCCCTGTCCAGGCAATATCCACACACCCCACCCTGCAAGATGCAGTAGATTCTATGGTATTGAAATACTATGTTTATCTGACATCCCTGTGTTAATCTTTTCTGCTAGACTGCAAGCACTGCTGAAATAAGATGAGTGTCCTCTAAGGACACCTTGCTCAAGCACTGCAGTGTAGCAGATAAACATGGTGAGAATCAGCATCAGAATATACTCTAGCAGGGTGTGGTTGTGCACACTTTTAATCCCAGCACTTAGGAGACAGAGGCAGGCAGATCTCTGTGAGATCAAGGCCAGCCTGGTCTACATAGTGAGTTCCAGCCTAGTTGGGGCCAGAGAGACCGGTCTCTATTTTAAAACAATCCCCCCACCCCGGGCACAAAAAACATACTGTACTAGTGAGGGAGCAGAAACTGCTCATAGGTTATATCTGGGTGCTGGTATTCACTGGTGTTGCCAGAGAGCTGGTTTTTGTTTGAATGCGATCCATCTGCTTCAGGTCTTCATCTTGAACTGAGGTATCATCTGGGACCAGCCCTTTACTCACACCTTTTGAGCCAGCATCAGTGCCTGCTGGGCAGCCCCAAAGGAACTTCTGTCTTATATGGGTATCCAGAGGCACAGCATGACTTGGGGTGTGGTCAGTGCAGCTCTTAATCAGAAGTGATGGAGAGTCGCACAGACAATGTGGAAGGGCCTAAGCAAATATGTCACACAAGTGCCTGCCACATACTCTACTTGGGCCACTTCAGCTGCGAGTGAAAGTTCACTAGTAGTAGTGCCCACAGGCAGGCAGCTGGAAATAACGGTTTAACAATTGCATGACTCCATCCAGGGCCAGCAGCACTGCTGCAGCCTGGTCCTCACCCAGATCACCAAAACGTTCACTACCAAGGCTTCTGGGCATATGCCACTTCTGAAACAATCACTGAGATGTGACCAGTTCAGACTGGCCACCACCCTCAGGGAGAGAGGCTGCCCTCTTGAAGTCAAGTGGTCTTTGCACCACTGAAGGAAGTGGGATCCATTAGCAAGGAAGGCAGCAGTTTGCCAGAGAATGTATTGGAACACACTGCACTGTTCTGATGTGACTAATACCAAGGAGCACCTGGCATGCAATGTGTGTCTGGCATGCCAGCACACTATGCCATACAAACACAGGTTAAGGCAGTCAGAAGGGCCCTCTCTGCAAAGGCTAGCATCAAAAGAATATTGCCAGTGGAGAGACTAGCTGGGCCAGCCTGCATTGGGCCTGAGGGCATGGTGGGTCATGCAAAGGAGTTTGGAATTTATTCTGAACATGATGAACCCCAACCCAATATATTTTTTAAAAAAGATTTATTATTTTTGTGTGTATCTGTATGTAATGTATGTGTGTAAGTGCAGGCAAGTGTGGGCCACAGAGCACATACGGGGGTCAGGGACAACTTTTGGGATTTGGTTCTCTTCTTCCATAGGGTCTTTTTTTCCTCCCACGATGTATATATACTCCAGGCTAGCTTGCCTGCAAGACTCTGGGCAAATCTCCTTTCTTTCCCTCCCATCTCCCATAGGAGTGTTGGGATTACAGATACGTGTCACTGAATCTGGCTTTTTTTTTACATGAGTTTTGGGGACTGAACTCAGGTAGTCAGGCTTACATGGAAATCACTTTTAACCACTGAGTCATCTCATTGCCCCCATGCCCCCCCCACAGATGTTTTACTTTGATGGATAGAAAATGGCTAGTCTAGGACCAAAAGTGAAGCCAGGAGACTTGGACTATGTGCACAGGAGAAATGCAGGGCTTAGGAGGTAGATAAGCCCAATGGGGCTGTCTCAGGAGCTGCTGATGTTCCCTCATAGGATCTGGAAGGACCCTAACCCTTAATCCCATCTGGATTGTGCAGTTTATCACCTAACTCCAGATGACATATTTCTTGTAAGAACCAAGGTGACCAGCTCCAGTGCCTCTATGAATGCTTCTTCCTGTGGAAAACCTGTCTTCCAGGGGCTTTGCATCTTCAGGGTCTTCTGGCTATCATGCTCTTACCACCCCTCAGTTCCTGGCATCTAAATGCACTAATGGCTTCTGTGAATGTGTCCATGCTCCGGCAATGTGTACATGGACACATGCAGATCATCAGGGTGGGGCAGCTTCTACACCCAGGATATCTGGGTTCAAATCCTAGCTCAAGCTCTTTCTGGTGGAGTGATATTGGATTCAGACAAGTCCATGAACTTCCCTGTGCCTTAATTTGCTCATTTGTAGCACTGAAGAATAGCACTGACCTCAAGAGTTATCACAAGGACTAGTTGAATTAGCACACCTGCAAGTCTCAGCTGGGTGTTATTACATTATCAGATACAAACTACACACTTGCCCCCTGCCCTTGTGGTGGTGAACCATCACACACCTAGGATGGGGTGAGGGGCCCTGGACTACCCTTTAGGGCCTCCTGTAACTTGGCCAGTACCCTTAGGGCTGGGAGTCTGGGCAGTTGCAGCAGACTGGATGGGGAGTGCAGCTTGGCTGACAGCAGATCTGTAAGGCAGGGTTCTCACCCTTGGCCATCTGGCTGGGGCTGAAGGTCACAGCTGCATCATACTGGGCCTTGAGCAGCGTGAGGTGCTTCAGAGCCGTCAGAGACTCTGGGGAGACTGTATCCATACTTTCCAGAAGATTGTAGTTCTCACCAGGGTCCTTAGACAGGTCATAGAGCAGTGGGGGCTCATGAGCTGTCAGCGGGCTGGCAGCATGACAGGCAGGATCTGAGGTGGTGTCACTGTGGGCAGAGCCTGGGGAGGGGTCAGCTCTGAGCACAAGGCAAAAGCTAGAGTAGGGGCAGAGATTAGGTCAGCTTAGGGGTCAGCAGGGCTGGGGAGAGGGATCCAGGAAGAAGGAGTTACCCTGGGTGAAGAAATGAGCTTTGTATTTCCCGTTCCTCACAGCAAACACCCCATGGACCTCATCTGGGTAGGGTGGATAGAAGAAGAGAGACTTCCGAGGGCTCTACAGGCAAAGGATAAGAAAGGTAACTAAGGATACCTGTTAGCCTTTGTGGTAGGCCCTGGTTGCCCACCCAGCAACCTGAGAAGCAGCACCACTTAGAGGCCACTCATCAAATTAGACATGAAGCAGACTCTCAGGCACTGCTTAGACTCATACCTATGGGAGGGACAAGCATGGGGCAGAAGACTTGGGATCAAGGGGTCATTGGCCATACCTTGCCTGTGCCTAGCAGCAGGGGGCTGAGGTCAACACCATCCAAGGTAATGTTGGGTAGTGGAGCCCCAGTCAGAGCTGCCAGAGTGGGCAGCAGGTCCAGGGAGCTGGCCAGTTCATGTGTCACACCTGTGAACAGATGGCTGTTTGGTCACTCAGTTCACCATGAAGGTTGGTGAGGTAGGGCCAAGGGACTACAAGAGGAGGGCCAGAAGACTGACCAGGAGAGATGTGGCCTGGCCAGAAGGCCAAAGCAGGCTCTCGGACACCACCTTCAAAAGTCGTTCCCTTTCCACATCTCAGGAGGCCAGAGCAGCCGCCATTGGACATACGCATTAATTCAGGTCTAGGATACACAAGGAGGTCATCAGCAATGAGGGTCCAAAGCACCGAACCATCACTGGTGATCACCAGTCCCATACTTTAAAGTTAAAAGAATGGCCAGTATGTACCTGTTCCCTCTCTGGCCTACAAGACTAGCACCTCTGTGTATCTATGGTCCCCAGTCTATGACCCTATGGGTCACTATAACATGGTCAGCATCTGTTGAGGGCCCCTTATACCACAGTTTTCAGCTAATAGTGTGGATGGACCCCAAGGTCCTGGCATATAACAGAGCAATGAGTATCCCCTGCTCTGTCTCGTACCCGTTGTCTGCAGTGAAGATGACCAGTGTCTCTCCGAGCAGACCTAGGTCCCCCACAGTTGTCATCAAGGCCCCTACAGCTGCGTCCAGCTCCATCAAGGAGTCCCCAAATGGCCCACGGCCCGAGCGCCCTGTGAAGCTTTGTCCACTGAACTGAGGATAGTGGGTGTGCTGGGGGCAGAGACCAGAGTCAGCATTGGGTAGTCTTGGGCAGCCAGGGGGGTGGGGCCAGGGTCACTCACGTGGGAAGCATAGTATAGGAAGAATGGGCGACCCTGGCGCTGAGCATCAGCCATTAGATCCCGAGAGAAAGACACATAGCGGGCCTCTAGTCCAGGCAGCCAAGGGGGCTGTGCCTCCACAGACAGGTTGGCCAACAGTGGGATGGGAACCAGGTTCTGGTCACAGCCACCATTGCAGGGGGTGGCTGGTGGGAAGCAGGTCAGGTTCTGGCAGGGGCCCTGGGGACAACAGTTCCAGTGAGAGGTCTGGGCTGAGTTGAGGTTGAGAGACAATGATTATGGGGCTTGGGTGTGGTGGGGGTCAGTGGAGGGCAGTGGAGGGTCCAGGTGGTCTGTACCTGGTCATGGGAATATGGGATGCCCAGGAATCGATGGAAACCCTGATGTGGGGGCAAGAAGGCCCCCTCTGGCCCCACTCCAAGGTGCCACTTGCCAGCCATCCCTGTAAGATAGCCTCGTGCAGCCAGCACCTCAGCCAGAGTCACCTCCTCTAGGGGCAGGCCCCCCTGGGAGCTGGGCCCCAGGACTCCAGGGTACATGCCAGAACGAACTGGGAGTCGGCCAGTCAGGAGGGCAGCCCTGTAGGACAAGCCATATAATCCATAATCTATGAATTCCACAGAGATGAAAAGAGGGAGCACAGAGAGGGGAGGGAAAACCAGAACTTCCTCACAGTTGAGAGGAATGGAATCAGCAGGGGTAGGGGAGGGCTGACAGCCCCTCACTCACCGAGATGGTGTGCACAGAGACACAGGCACATAGAAGTCTGTGAACCGCAGTCCCCCTTCAGCCAACTGGTCCAGGTTGGGGGTGGTGGAACTGGGGTGCCCGTAGGAGCCCAGGTCCCCATAGCCCAGGTCATCAGCAAAGATCAGCACAATGTTAGGTGGGCTGGCAGAGGTCAGGCCTGCAGCCAATGCCAAAAAAAGGGCCCCCAGTGTCCCCATGGCGCAGGTACTGATGGGTCTGTCTCCTCAGACCCTTGGTAGGGAAGGCAGAGGGATTCCCGCAGGCTTGTACCCTGAGGCCCCAGGCCCCTCCCCCTTCCCTGAGCCCCCAGACCCAAATGCTCCTATCTGAAGGCCCACTTATTGAAGCTCCAGAGAACCTAACAGAATCCGGGAGGTGGTGGCTTGGAGTGTAACTCCAGAGACCCTAAACGACCAGGGGCGTCTTCATATTCACGCGCGGGGATCTGAACCTGTTAACCCAGAAGTCCCGGTACAGGCTTGAAGTCAGAAGCAGACGTCACAAGACATTGGCGAGGGCACCTCGAGAGCCGTAGGACGAGGGCGGTTCAGAGCCGAGGAGGAACTGGTCATAGACAGCGTCGGTCTCAGGCCGTCTGGGAGACGCCCGTGGTCACGTGATAGTTGAGTAATCGAGGCAGGCGGGTGCGGGGAACCGCGGTACGGGGCGGGGCGGGTTTGAGTGCTATGGGCCTTTCCGGGGCGGGGCTTTTGCAGAGTTGGGACTCGCGTGGGCGGGGTGGGGCGGGGCTTTGCGCGCGCGCTTCCGGGCACCTTTCGGTGCCGGTTGGCGGGACTCCGCGCTACGTTTCCGGCACTGTGCTCTCTGCTCCTGCGCCGTGGGCTCCGCCACGGTACAGTTTAGCATCGCACCGGGTCTAAGCTGGTGCTCCTCCAGGCTCCCGCTCTGTGCGCAGTTCGTGTCGGGGCACTGGAGCGGAAGTTCCCCCCAGCGTTGGCGGTTTGTGTGCTCCATCTGCATTGCTAAGACCCTTGAAGGATCCTTGTTAAAAAGACCCCTTAGCACCCCCATGTGAAAGAGTAAAGCAAAAAGAAAACTGTGGAGTCCTGAAACAAATTAGGAAGACACAGCTGATAGCTGCTTTTTGTTCACAGCCACTTTGGTTTGGTTTTGTGAGACATGGTCTAACAGTCTTAAAAATCCTTTCCCCTTTACATGTGTATCTGGTGTTTAAGGTGGAGTGTGTGTGTGGTATGAGTTAGCATGTGTGTGTATGTGTTGAGGTAGGCTGTGTATTTGTGTGTGTCTTTGGTGTTTGAGGTGGGAGGCTAGAAGGTACTTAAGTATTGAAGTACCGACTTAAGGTATTTAAGTATTGAACTCCAATACAACAGGACTGGTTCCTAGCTCTCTCTGGACAGCCTTGAACTTAACCTTTTTTGGTGTACAATTTTAACTGTGGGGGGGGGCGTGACATACACTTCTTAGTGTAAGTGCCTCAGAGGGTGGAAGGGTGGGTACTTGGTGTACCTTAGCATCTAAAAGTCAGTGGTAACTGGGACCTTCCAGAGCACCCCCCAAAAGCCCCTGACATGAGTTGCTGTTCTCGGGGAAGTCTCTTCTGGTGTATTTCCTTTTAGGTGGCTGCCCCTAGGGCAGCTACCTGGCCAAATTCTTGGCCTTTGATTCCTTAATAAGCTAGGGTGCTCCTCTAAGACCTCTTTTCTCAGGAAGAAGAGGCCCTGAGAACCCAAGGAAGGAAACACTTTCTCTGGTCACCAGCTGGAGATGGGAAGGTGGACAGGACTCTAGAGGGTCTCTGGATCAAGGTAGGGGATCAGTACTCAACTTCTACTGTATCCTGACTCTGCCTGGGCATCTGGAATTTTCCTGATGAAATCTGCAAGATGATAGACAGCATGGGAGCAAAGTTTGAATGGCAGAGCCCCTGAGGATGGCACAGAAAAGGGACAGGGTTCAAGATTGCTGCTGACCTCATGGGGGAATTTGAGGCAATCTTCAGCTAGTGATTCTCTTAGTGTCATATTCCAGTGCAGTTTCTGGGTCTGTGCAGAGGTGGGAGTTGCTGGTGGCTCTTCTATCTGGAGTTAGGATAGAAAGCTCCTCTGTGGCCCAGAAATCTTTGAACCTGTAATTGGAATTCTCACAGCTGGTGGGCACTGTGAGTTGGAGTTTGAAAGGAATCAACCAAAAGCACTTTCTTCTCTTTCAGGTACAAGCTGGGAACTACCCCATGACCTGTCCATTATTCTCTGGAGAGCCTGTGCAGGGTTGTGATGTTATACAGATTGTAGCACTTTTCTCTGGGTTCTTGAGAGCTCTCAGGTTGATATACATGTGAAGGTTGCCTGGGCCCAGCACTGACCTTGAAGCCTTGAGAGCTTTGGGAGGAGGTATATGTGTACTGCCAACTCTGTTTGTTCAAAGCCAAGCCCTGCAGGCCAACCTGTCTTTTAGAGATGTGAGCTCTTTTTCTGTATCAACAGAGCCCCAATTGGAAGTAGCCTGCTAGGGTTCAGGAAGTGGCTCTAGATGCCTGGGGGCATTGCTAATTTTGGACAAATGTCCATGATTAAAAAGAGGGCCTTGCAATGAGTGGCAGGTCTCTTCATTCTGTACCTTGGAAAGGGATGGGAGAGGCTTCTGCTATGGGGGACGGTGGGGTGATTTAACTGTGTTTAGGGAAACACTGGCCTGAGAGGAATTCTGTAGCTGTTCTTGTACCAGTTGATGTAGGGACTTAGGACACAAGCAAGCCTCCTGTACCCCATGACTTGTTTCATAATGTCACTGTCATTGTGTAGGTGCTGGGATATATGGTGCTGAGCAGGGCCATGAGAGGCCCCAGAAAGAGTAGTTCTCTCAGAGGAAGAAGCACTTAGCTGAGATACAATGGAGATTGCCTGGTTGACCAAATGGGGCTTCATGGGGTTGCTGAAGACAACTTTTCAGTTGAGTTATGAGCAGGGGTCAGGTTTCATTATAATTTCAAATGTAAGGGAAAAGCCTCGAAAGGCTCTTTCAAAAATTTACTCAGGGCTGGGTGTGGTGGCGCATGCCTTTAATCCCAGCGCTTGGGAGGCAGAGGCAGGCAGATCTTTGTGAGTTCGAGGCCAGCCTGGTCTACATAGTTCCAGGCCAGCTGGGGCTACAGGAAGACCCTGTCTCAAAAAGACAAAAAAAAATATTTACTCAGGAAGCTGGACATAGTGGTACATGCCTTTAATCCCAACACTTGGGAGGCAGAGGCAGGCAGATCTCTGTGAGTTCAAGGCCAGCCTGGTCTACATAGCGAGTTC